AAGGACCAGCAGCTGAAGGACCAGCAGCTGAAGGACCAGCAGCTGAATGTGGCCTGAAGAGAAGTTCATGGAAACGCTTCGTTTGCTTCATGATTCCATGGACGATGACTAAAAATGAAGCTTGTGCTTCAGGACTGCTGCTTGTTTGACTCTTGTTTTTATAGCTTATAACATAATTTAACTGAAGCAGCCTGACAGAGTTCATCGCTGCGACGGTGGAGGGAGGAGACTTCTCCTGCACCTGGGTACGATTAGGCTTGATAAGCTCCGCCCTCCATAAACCCAGGTAACAAACACCTGTGCAAGGCTAAAGTAAACGATGTCGGCACAAAACAAGTTTCTGCGACTCCAGACACTTAAAGATCAAAGAGATGCCAGAACCTCCTTGGATGAAGTCCAGTTGTCTTCAGACGCCACAAGAGTTCTCGTTGCCTCGTGGTTTGAAGCTCCACGAGTGTGAAAGTGGCGAGATGCTGAGGCAGCCGATCCCTGCACTCCACTGTTGTACATGTAAACAACAACACTGCCACAGGATCTGCACATCGTGTGGATCACGAGGAGCCACAGTCGAATCAAATTTGATTTAAAACAGGAACAATAAACATGAGGAGAGTGAGAGTCGTGTCTCGTACTTCACAGGTTCACCTTCCTTCATGAGGAGCAGCTCTAATCTGCTTTATTAGGATTTAATCTCATGTATCTGTAATACATGAGATTAAATCTGTACGGTCAGAGTGCTGCGAGGATGGAAGTGATGCATGATGGGAAAGTTTCCAGTCTCTGACCCATCAGTGTGTAGCCCTTCAAGAACCAGAAGCGTGTGGGCGACGAACGTCCCTCCAACAAGTCTCTGAACGACTCGCAGAACAAGAAGAAGAAGAAGAAGAAGAAGAAGAAGTCCTCTTCTCGGGATCTCCAGTCGAGGTCCTGAAAGGCTCTTTTTGGTATGAAATGGAAGAAGAGGAGGAAGAGTTTCTAAAGTTGTGCTTCTGCAGAGCGACCGGACAGAAGTTCTACTGAAGGGTCCGGTTGGAGGGCTGACCGCTGGACGACAAGCCAGCGTGCCGTGGGGGTGGGGGGGTCGTCCTGTCTGTTGCTGCCGCTTTACTCCATGGTTTGAACTTTAGGAGGAAACAGGAGAGCAGGCTGCCCCCCCAGGACGCTGTGCGTACCAGCCGCACAACTCAGACCAGGAGCCCCCCTCCCTCGGCCGGGCCCGGTCCCAGCAGTTACCCCAGCTGGATGTGACCTGAATAGGTGGTGAGGAGCAGCATGATGGAGAAGCCCGTCAGGAGGCCGGCGTTCTGGATGGCGAAGGTGACGAGGAAGCGGCTCCCCCCTGCGTCCTCTTCCTCACGACTCACCTCGTTCATCTCTGGAAACTGAGACAGACACAACGTTACACTCTGAACGAGGGCCTCGCACACATCCTACGCTCTGACTGGCTGCGGCGGCCATCTTGAACTCTACAAGTCCAGCAGTCGCTACGACAGAACCGATGATCGACAGTTTCAACTAAACACACCGACTTTGGTACGAGTGAGTTTTTACTAAAACTTTATTTCCATTTGCTGCAGATTACGACTGCAGGACAGTCATTTACATGAAACCTGTCAGAGGATCCAAATCGTATTTGTTTAGAACCTGTCCAGATTTTATTATCATTACAGTACCCCCCCCCCCCCCGCCCCCCATACCACAGCCAGTTCTTCCACATGTGTAGACATACTTTGACATTTTACAGTCAAAGAGCGTGCAGCGAGTCTTTTCAGAAATGACGGGAAGCAGACTGGGACATGTGAGAAACGTTCAGCTGACCCGAGTCCACGGCTCTGAACTCTTCATAAAGCCCCTTTTCCATGGGGACGGCTCGGAATGGTTCAGCTCGCTTAATGGACCTGAGCTGAACCTTTGTACCTCCCACCTCCTCATCTCTCTGAGCTACTGGAACCACACGTTCCCTCTCGGGCCCTGAGATCGTCCAATCAGCTGCTTTTGGCTGAAGGTCAGAGGAGACCGGGCTTTGTCAGTCATGGGCCCCAAACTCTGGAACAACCGGCCCCCCAACATCAGGCAGACCACCTCCCTTCCTGTGTTCAAACATCTGTTCTCTCAGTTCACACAGTGTGAGTTGATCTGGTATTTTTCTTCTGTGTTCCTGTTTTTAACACTTTTAATTAATTTGTCAGTATTATCATTAGTGTGTGTTATTTGTTTCCATTAATTTATTCTCAGTGTTGTTGTTGAGCACTTTGGTAACAGCTGCTGTTTGAAATGTGCTTTATAAATAACGTTGACTTGTCCAACATGAAACCCGTCTCATTTGGTTTGCCTGCAGTCGCTCAGACGTTCCCTCACCATGTCAGCCAGAGCGATGTAGAGGAACATTCCTCCGGCCAGAGCGAAGATCCAGTTGGGGGAGAAGCTGTTCCCGGCCAGGATCCCGAAGCCCATTCCCAGGTAGCAGCAGCAGGCGGACAGGAAGTTGAAGAACAGAGCCTGCTGGATGCTCATCCCGGCGCTCAGCAGGATCACAAAGTCTCCTGGTGACACATCACAGAGTTTAGCTGGAGGGGTAAAACAGCTAAACGTGCTCATCAACCGGACATCAAGGTAGGCGAAACTAAAACGTTCTGATTTACAGGAAACAGACGGCTGATAAAAGCTAAAACTGAGGGAAATTAGCCAAACATTTGCTAAATGTAGTAAAAGTAGCTAATGTTGCAAAACAATGCTTAAGGAAAGAGAATCAACAAAACAGTGGCTAAAAGCTAAACTAAGAGTAGCTGCAGCAGGTTTCAAACAGAACCACATTTTAAAGGAAGATTAGATTAGATTAGATTAGATTAATAGATTAATTAACTAGAAATTAGGAATTAGATTAATATATAGTATATAAATATTGTAAAAAATGATCAAAGTTACAAGAACGTTCTTCTAAGAACCATTCCAACTGAGCTGAACCTTCTCCTGCATGGACGGTTCAAAAAGCACAAAGTCAGGGTGAGCACTGACTCGGCGCTAACAACACGTTTCAGTGCATGTTGCCCACAGGAGAAACCATGTGCTGGTTCTGATCCCACCGGACTCACCCAGCTCGTGGGGAAACTCCTCACACAGGATGGCCACGGAGGTGCTGATGCCCTGGAAGACGGAGGCCGTGAAGGAGGCGCCGATGGCTAAACCGTCGATGAAGTTGTGCAGGCCGTCGCTCAGCGTGATCATCCAGGCCAGAGTCCCGATGTCAGAGTAGGTCGTTCCTTTCAGCCAATAGCAGGTGCCGCCACGCTTTCTGGACCTGGAGCCACTGTCTGGACTCTGAGCCTCCTGAGAACCAGAACCGTTTATCTAGCTGTTTGTGAAGGCATCTCAACAGTAGTTCAGTCCAAGACTGAATGTTCAGGATGAATGTAGGATGAGTCAAAGAAACCAAAAGGCTACCTGTGGTGTTTGTCCAGGGCTGAGCATGAGCTCGCCCTCACCGGCGTCCACCTTGGCTTGAGCCAAACTGGTGACCTCTCCGTTCTGCTGCAGCTTCTCCTCCCCCTCCTCCAAGTCTCCGTGAGGCATGGAGTAATGATCCGCACCGGTGTGATGGCTGTGGCCGTGGCCCTGAGACGACAGAGACCGGCCAAATACTCCATCAAAGAAGACCAGAGACGTGAAACAAAGCCATGACAGTCCATCAGTCTGACCTGCTGCTGCTCAATAATGCAGCTAGACAGTCCAACGTCACGTCCAATGGATGGGTTCTTCTTGGTCTTTGGATCCATAGGATCTGACACAACCTCGGTGGAATGTTAACGGTACCTGGATTATTGAGCAGCAGCAGGTCAGACCGATGGATCTAATAAGGTTGGGTCAGGTCCTCTGGATCCAAAGACCAAGAAGAACCCGTCCATTGGACCTGACCCAACCTCATTGGACTATCTAGCTGCATTATTGAGCAGCAGCAGGTCGGACCGATGGATCCAACGAGGTTGTGTCAGGTTCAATGGATGGGTTCTTCTTGGTCTTTGGATCCAGAGGACCTGACCCAACCTTGTTAGATCCATCGGTTTGAGTTTACGACTCCAAAAACAAAACTCCACTTCAGGATAAGACCGTCCAGGTGTGAATGTTCTGCTTGATAAGGAGGAGTTGGTTTTGACCGTTAGAATCTGAAACTTTTTTACTTTGGAAATTATTTACCTTAATTTACAGAAACGTACCAGCCACTAGGGAGCACAAGCCAGTGTATCTCTTGTGCTGGTCCCAAGCCTGGGTAAATGGTGAGGGTTGTGTCAGGAATGGCATCCAATGTAAAACACTTTTGCGAAAACAATAATGCAAGTTCATCAAAGCGAAACCATAACGGATCGGTCGAGGCCCGGGTTAAAAACGACCGCCACCGGTGCTGTTACTAAAGAGGGTGAGAAGGACTTGTACCGATTGAAGAGACCGAGGGATCAAGCTGGAAAAGATTAAGGGAATTAAGTTGATGAGCCACACGATGAAGATCTGGGAGAGAGTTGTGGAAGCAAGACTTAGACGAGAGGTGACTATCTGTGAGCAGCAGGATGGTTTCATGCCAAGAAAGAGAAAGAGCACCACAGATCCATCTTTGATTTGAGGATGCTGATGAAGAAGAACAGAGAAGGTCGGAAAGAACTCCATTGTGTCTTTGTGGATTTAGAAAAAGCATATGACAGAGTGCCGAGGGAGGAGGTGTGGTGTTGCATGAGGAAATCTGGAGTGGCAGAAAAGTATGTTAGACTGGTACAGGACATGTATGAGGACAGCAGGACATGTATGAGGACAGCAGGACATGTATGAGGACAGCAGGACAGTGGTGAGATGTGCTGTAGGAGTGACAGATAGCTTCAAGGTGGAGGTGGGAGTACATCAAGGATCAGCTCTGAGCCCCTTCTTGTTTGCTCTGGTGATGGACCAAATAACAGATGAGGTCAGGCAGGAATCCCCATGGATGATGATGTTTGCAGATGACATTGTGATCTGTGGTGAGAACAGGGAACAAGTGGAAGAGAACTTGGAGAGGTGGAGGTATGCACTTGAAAGAAGAGGAATGAAAGTCAGCCGTAGTAAGACAGAGTCCATGTGTGAATGAGACGGAGGAGGTGGAACAGTGAGGCTACAAGGAGCAGAGGTCACAAAGGTGCAGGACTTCAAGGACTTGGGGTCCACTGTCCAGGAACATGGGGAGTGTGGTGAAGAGGTGAAGAAGAGAGTCCAGGCAGGATGGAGTGATGGAGGAAAGTTTCAGGAGTGATTTGTGACAAAAGGGTGTCAGCAAAGATCAAAGGAAAAGTTTACAAGACAGTGGTGAGACCAGCTATGTTGTATGGTCTGGAGACAGAGACATGGACAAAAAGACAGGAGAAAGAACTGGAAATAGCAGAAATGAAGATGTTGAGGTTCTTCTTAGGAGAGACAAGGATGGAGAAGATTATGAATGAGATAATCAGAGGTACAGCACAGGTTGAACAACTGGGAGATAAAGTTAGGGAGGCCAGACTGAGATGGTTTGGACATGTCCAGAGGAGGGACAGTGGGTATATTGGTAGAAGGATGTTAGAAATGCAGCTGACAGGAAAAAGACAAAGAGGAGATATATGGATGCAGTTAGAGAGGACATGGAGTTGGTAGTTGGAGTGAGGACCGAGGATGCAAAGCACAGAGTGAGGTGGAGGAAGATGACTCGCTGTGGCGACCCCTGAAGAGGGAAAAGCCGAAAGAAGGAGAAGAAGAATTTACAGAAACGTACCAAAAGAAATGCAGAAAAATCTCTGCAGTATTTTCAAACACTTTGTTCACCGAGGTCTTAGGCTACTTTTCACTGCAGCCATGATCATTTACTTTAGCAAGGTTGGGCTAATTTTAGCTTTCGTCTATTTTTTCTTCTTTTGGCTGCTCCCTTCTTCAGGGGTGGCCACAGTGAACCAAGTCACACGAAGACTTGTCAGTTATTTTTATACCAGATGTCTTCCTAACAACCACAGACCACCGAGCTACCACAGCCCTCTGTGTGGAGCAGAGAGCTGCCATCTGGGGCGCCTGGGGAGCACATGGTGGGGGTTAAGAGCCTTGCTCAAGGGCCCAGAGTGGGTCAAGTAAGGGTGGAGGCAGGTGTGGGTGCTTGACCTTTCCCACCCACATTTTGATGTTGTTGGTATCAGGAACTGAACCAGTGATCTTCCGATCACAGGCCTACCTTCTCTAACCTCTGCACCACCACTCCCCAAGCTTTCACCTATGCTTTTGCTACATTTAACTTTTAGTTACTGGTTTGGCATTTTTTGCTTTTAGTTACTGCTGTCAATTTCAGATTTTAGCTGTAAAGGTTTGCTATTTTGCCTTTCAGTAAAAGTTTTAGCAAATTTTAGTGTTTAAGTTAGATCAAAGTTCATGCTCAATAATCTAATGAGCATGAACTTTGATGTTTTGAACAAGTTTGGCTAAGGCTGCCTCAAATGAGTCGGCGGGGGAGAGGGTGAACTCCAGAAACCATCTCCGCACCATCAAACTGGTTGACCCACTACATAAAGGTGCTTTTTAGACAGTTTGTTTGTGGCTCCTTGGTCTGATGGAGTCTGAAGGATGAAAGACGAAACGTTTCAAAACAAAGAAACCAAGCAGAGGACCTGGCTGAATTTTGTTGGCTGTTAAGTTACGGTTTTGCAGAAGTTAGTCTTAAGCTACCGTTTACCTAATTGTAGCTTTTAGCTAATTTGTTAAATTTATAATTTTAGTACTATTTTGCCAATTTTAGCTTTTTACCTAGAGTTTTGGTGATAATAGCTTTTAGCTACCATGTTCTCAATTTTCATTGTTACCCACCATTTTAATAGCTTTAGCTTATAGGCAACACCTTGCTAACAATCAATTATAGCTACAATTGAGACAATGTCACATTTCAATAGCTTTTAAACTTTTAGCTTTTAACTTAGGGGCAGTTGTGGCTGGGGGGTTAAAGCAGTCGTCCTCCAACGTGAGAGTTGGGGTTCGATATCACCAGCAGTCAAAGGCTGAAGTGTCCTTGGGTAAGAAACTGAACCCTTCATAATCTCCGATATGTGATGTTTGACTGTGAATATACTAGAGTTGTATGAACGTGTGTAGTAGAGCTATGTATAAGTGTGTGTGTAGTAGAGTGATTTATAAATGTGTGTGTAGTAGAGTGATGTATGAATATGGGTGTAGTAGAGTGATTTATAAATGTGTGTTTAGTAGAGTGATTTATAAATGTGTGTAGTAGACTGATTTATAAATGTGTGTGTAGTAGAGTGTTGTATGAATATGTTTAGTAGAGTAATGTATGAATGTGTGTGTAGTAGAGTGTTGTATGAATGTGTGTGTAGTAGAGTGTTGTATGAATGTGTGTGTAGTAGAGTGTTGTATGAATATGTGTGTAGTAGAGTGATGTATGAATGTGTGTAGTAGAGTGTTGTATGAATGTGTGTAGTAGAGTGATGTATGAATGTGTGTAGTAGAGTGATGTATGAATATGTGTGTAGTAGAGTGATGTATGAATGTGTGTAGTAGAGTGATTTTATGAATGTGTGTGGAGGTAAATGAGGACACAGATTGTGTTGTTAAGAGCTTTGAGTATCTGGATTACAGTACATAAAAGGTGCTATACTAGTACAGTCCATTTACCAATGTTTTTGTACAGTTAAAATTTGGCTAGTTTGTTCATTTTTGCTTTTAGCTACAATTTTGCCAAGTTTATCTTTTAGTTACAATTATGAGAATTTTAGCTTTGAGCTTCGGTTTGTCTGGTGACAGGTGATTCATGAACATATTTCAGCTGGTCCCTGTTCACGACGGCTTGACCGGTTGCAGCCACACGATGGTGGAGATGTTCTACGATCAGCTGACGGATCTTGTGGCTGTACTTTGAGGATGACATAAGAGACGTTCATGCAGCGCTTCAATATTGAGGAATAATAAAGTGGTCAACTTTAAATCTCATTAACAGACTCGGATACTGAGACTAGGACCAGGGTTAGCACCAGGACTAGAGCTACACCAAACGTTGGTGCAGAAACTAGTCAGAGTCCAGACCTCAACCCATCCCAGCAGCTGCAGACACTGAACAACTCCGTCATTAAACAGAACCACTGACGGCAGAGCATAAAATATGTCAGCCTCGCGTTCTGCCTGAACAGGAAGTTCAAGGTTTGCTACGTCTGCCAACGTCTCGTCCAGCCAGTCCAACCTGCCCCTGACGTAAAGATCAAACGAGTTTGGAGAGATCATTTGCGTGCCAGCAGATGTTCTGCATGTTTCACATCCCTCTGGAATAAAGTTCGAGCCTAAGACCTGCAGAACTGCACGAGATCAAAATCTCTGCAGAGCTTTCTGTTCAGAGGGGAGGAGCTCCAGAGATCCTTCACTGCCATGTCAGCAGGAGATTGAATATAATGAAGGTTTACTGAAGCCTGGCTGGCACTCTCTGCATTTAGGGGATTCAAAGAAAACCATAAGGCCTACCCCTGGGTGGAAAAGAACAAAAATCCCTACAAGACGCTGGAGAGTCTGTATTTCTGCCAAACATCCATCATCTTTACCCGCTTCTTCCTTTTTGGGTCGCGGGGGTCACTGGTGCCTATGTCCAGCGCTCACTGTGCGAGAGGCGTTCAGTCTTGGGACCCACCCTCTTCACAATCTACATAGGTAATGTAGGTCAGAGCATCCCTGATGGATCTTTACATTTCTATGCTGATGACACAGTTGTTTATTGTCGAGCTAAAATGGTTGCTAAGGTTTTCCAGCTTTTGCAATCTGCTTTCAACATCATCTATCATTATTTTCAAACAGGAAGTCGGTCCCAGCAGTTCTTTCTCCGATTTTATCCTCGAATGGTGTCCCCATTGAGTTTGTTGATTCCTATAAATATTTGGGTATCTTGGTCGACTCACATCTCTTTTAAGCTCCATGTGGAAAACTTGGTAAAGAAACTGAAAGTTAAACTGGGTTTCTTTTTCAGAAACAGATCCTGTCTAACTCTGAATGTTAGGAAACACCTTGTATCTGTGACTTTCCTTCCCTCCATTGATTACGGTGACATTTACATGAACGCTCCTACAAGAACCCTGCAGATGTTGGATGCTGCAGATGTTGGATGCTGCAGATGTTGGATGCTGCAGATGTTGGATGCTGCAGATGTTGGATGCTGCAGATGTTGGATGCTGTCTATCATGGTGCACTAAGATTCATAACTGGCTGTAACTACCGTACCCACCACTGCACCCAGTATTCACTGGTTAACTGGTCACCATTAACTTCACACAGACTCTCCCACTGGTACATTTTCATCTTTAAATCTCTTCCTGGTCTGCTGCCTTCATACATCTCCTCCTACATGTCTCTGTGTGAGTGCAGCTACAGCGTGCGCTCTCAGGACATCATTACCTGCAGTGTTCCCTCAGTGAGGACTGAACTAGACAAAAGGACCTTCTCCTACTCCGCTCCCGTTTCCTGGAATATCTTGTAAAAAGACCTGAAGCTCTCGACCTTTGACCTCTCCAAGTGTTTTTAAGAATCTGTTGGACTCCTGGCAGGGACCAATGCAGACATGTTCCTGTTTTTAGTTTTTACACCGCTAACAATCTTGCCAGGGTTTTATTGTTTCATTTTTTAAATACCATTTCTTTTCACTTCTTCTTCTCAATTTGTACGCTTCTCTTATGATTTGTCTATTATTGTCCACTGTTGTCGTTAAAACCAGGTCTCTCTTGTAAACGAGTCCCCCAGTTTGGTAGGAACAGATAAACAATGGCAGGTCAAGAATCACATGTTAAGATAGAAATAGTATCAAATGAAAACTATTCAATTTTAACAATTCATTTAAGGAAATGAGGTCAATTTGTCCTCTAGTAGTTTAAGTCTATAGCAGCATAACAAGTCGATCCCAACTATATCATAACATACCATTTTATTTATAAAGCACTTTAAACAGCGACAGGGCCAACCAAAGGGCTGTACAAACAGAAACAAACAGGCAGAGCACACAGCAACACAACGTAAAATCAAAGTATAGAAACAAAATAATAGCAGATAATAACATAATGACTAACACAGTGTGATGCATACAGGACCAACACAGATCATACTGTGTTGAAAGCCAGGGAATAGTAGTGGGTTTTTAAGTGGGATTTAAAAACTGTGAGGGAGGGGGCCTGTCTGACAGGTAGAGGTAACTCGTACCAGAGTCTTGGTCCTGCTACAGAGAAGGTCCTGTCACCTCTGCGCTTAAGACGAGTTCCTGGAACTGTGAGGAGCAACTGGTCCGCTGACCTCAGGGAACGTGGTGGGACATACGGTTGTAGCAGATCAGAGAGATGGGTGGGTGCAGAGCTGTTCAGTGATTAATGGACGTACATGAGTATTTTGAACTGGATTAGAAAGTGAACCAGTAACCAGTGCAGTGAGGCCAAAACTGGTGTAATGTGCTCTCTTTTGCCTGTACTGGTTAAAAATGGGGCTGCTGCATTCTGGACCAGTTGTAGTCGTGCAATGGAGGTCTGACTGATACCAAACAGGAGTGAATTGCAGTAATCAAGCCTAGATGTAATGAATGCATGTATTACTGTCTCCAGGTTCTTTTTGGACAACATGGGCTTCAGTTTAGACAGCCGCCTCAGTTGGAAGAAACATGATTTAACAATCATGTTTACATGATTGTTAAGTTTCAGGGAAGGGTCCATTATCACGCCCAGATTAGTGACTCTTTGTTTCTCTAAAGGGGCTAGAGCAGAAAGGTCGATGCAGTGGTTGATGATTGTGTCGTTGGGAGGAAACAACATGACTTCAGACTTCTTCCTATGAAACTTAAGAAATTTAAAGCCATCCAGTCCCTGATGTCAGCCAGGCAGTCAAGCAGAGGTTGAATAGGGCGTGTACCCTTGTGTCTTAGGGGGAAGTAAATTTGACAGTCATCGGCGTAGAAGTGAAAGGGTATGTTGTGTTTCCGGAAAATACCACCTAGTGGCAGCAGGTATAGAGAGAATAGAAGGGGACCGAGGACGGATCCCTGCGGTACCCCCCATTTAAGGGCTGCTGATGCTGAACTATAATCTCTGATGGAGACACAAAAGGATCTGTCAGCTAGGTGGGATCTAAACCAATTAAGGGCTGACCCTGTGATGCCCACCCCCTGATCCAGCCTAGAAATGAGGATCTCATGGTCGATGGTGTCAAAAGCAGATGTGAGGTCCAACAAGACAAGCAACACAGATCCACCAGCGTCTGTGGATATGAAGACGTTAAAAACCTTCAGTAGGGCAGTTTCAGTGCTGTGGAGAGGTTTAAAGCCAGATTGGAATAGCTTTCTAATGTTAGTGATATTACGCAGGTGGAAGAAGGTGGTTCTAGTAAAGTTTTTAATGTGGGGGATAAAAGACATGTCCCAGTGTTTCCCCTACCATTATACAAGTGGGGTGCCCCACCCCATCAACAGAACTGAGCACGCCGCCTACCAAACTGAACTCCCCCTTCCCTGGCACTGACATAGCGCCAGGCGCTCTAGTTTAAAAGCTAAAGGCAGTGCTCATACTGCCTCTTCTCTCACACTGAACCCCCCCCCCCCCCCCCCCCCCACCCACACACACAGACACACTCAAAAACTGTCTGTACAAACAGCTCACAGCTCAAACGTGTTGCACTAAGCTAGCGGTGCGCAATACAGGCGCTCTAGCTAAAAATCTAAGGATGCTTCTTCCCTCATGCTGACCCCCCCACCCCCGCTCAAAAACTGTTGTACAAGCTGCACTCAGAGATGTCTCCATCTCTCCCGTCAACAAAAATCATGGATGAGAAGAGCACCCTGCCATGGCAAGTTAACTAGGGGAAACACTGTCCTGATCAAAAATAACACCAAGATGTTTAACATTAGAGCTGGAGGACAGATTAATGCATCTAAGGAGGGAGAAAGACTGAAACATTCGTTCCTAAGGTGCTCAGGTCCAAAAACCAAAACCTCAGTCTTGTCTGTTCAACAGGAGAAAATTAAGGGTCATCCAGGTTTTTATGTCTTTAAGACATGCTTGTAGTCTAAGTAGCTGATTGGATTCATTGGGTTTCATGGACAAATAGAATTGTGTGTCAAATTTAAGAAGAAATGTTTTCTCTCCTTCTTCTTTTTGACCACTTGATGGAGTCCTACTGTCAAAAAAAATCCACAAGCCACCACTGGTGGAAACCATCCAACTGGGGCTGGTGTAAAAACTGTTAAAAGTTCCCCAAACAGCAGGTCAGTGTGTAAAGTCCAACTTCCTGTAAGCCTGAACGATGTCTTCGCTCCAAACTGGGCTGAGTTTCCTCCTCTGTTCTACCAGGACCCAGTTGATTTTTTTGTTGCTCTTATTGGCAGGTACCAGTGGTTAATTTGAGTTGGATCCTGCCGGAACAAGTTCCAGGAACTCTCATTTTGACCGCTCGGATCCGGCAACTCACATCTCCGCCCCGAAAAGTCCAAAGTCATCGCACATTTTTATTTTGATTATTTATTAAAGATACAACGAGAGGAGACGTCGCTCAGTCTGTGGAGTGGATGTTGCAGCCGCAGCACGCTCCTCCAGCAGGGACACGGACTGCGTGTCCCGCGGGGAGCGTCTTCATCCTCCTCCAGCTGTGCGCCATGAGACAGTTGTTTTACGCACAGCGTCTCCACACAGCTCTGCAGGACGCGTGCACAACTGCTGTGTCGGAACTCCTACATACATTACAGTGCATAACACTTCAGATGTAATAAATAAGCTTACAGCAGAAAACTAAATAAATAAATACCAGTGAAATGGTTGATGTGTATTAACATCACGTATCAAAACAACGGCACTAATTAGTCAAAATAACAGCGATCAAAATGTCGAAAAGACAATTTATCTAAAATAAATGGATGGATTGTCCTTAGCTGGACAACTGAGAACTGAAGCACCTGAAGGCAGCGGTAACAGAGACTGGAGCAGAACCACGCGCAGGACTGAATTCAGTTGAGTTCGGGTCGGACAGTGTGGGGGGGGGGGGATGCTCGACAGAATACGACCTTCACACACACAGGCTTGTTAATTGTTGTTGCTCTCTAAAACAGTCATTTCAATTCAACCTTTATTTCTACAGGTTGTTCGTCTCATTGAGCCTCGTCATTTACAACAGAGACCTGTTGTTAATCAGTTTAATCAAATGTTTACAGATGTTTAACAGCCTGTTAAAATGCAACAAAATGCAGGAAATGGCATCTCTTTACTCCAAACTTTCTGAGGGAGGACCCACGGACCTCATATTAACGTGACGTCAACTCACCCCGTGTTTTTGTTTGAGGACGACTTTGAGGACTTTTTCTGTGAAGAAGAAAAGGTAGAAGCCCCCGAAGACCACGGCAGATTTGGACACGTAGAAGTCCACCATGGGGTCAAAACCAAAGGCCTGCAGAGTAGAAAGAGGATTATAAAAGTCTGAGGTGGCGATGTCAGCCGATGTAAATCATCTTCAGGCTTTATACAGAATGAAGAGCAAGCCGTTAGCCTATCGATGTACCTTTGATTCATTTTAAAGAAGTCAGGGTTTGTAAACTTTACAGAACGTTCCCGTGTTTCGTTCAGGACTTTCAGAGTCCTACTGAGATGCAGACCCAAGGATTAAAGGTCAATAAGGACGTAAAGTGTGGCTCTCTGAAGCTGCACAAATATTTCACAAAGGCCTGGAATTGAAAAGACAAACGAGGCCTTTTTGTCTCCGTCCCATGGACAAACACGTCCTGTTTGTTGGGTGTGTTCTGCACCAGACATATTTAACAGAATAATATTAGTTAAAAAATATTTAACTTAGACATTAAGTGTTTGAACCCAAACGTCCCTCAGAGTTAAATATAACAGATGAATTCATTTTCCAAGGAACCAACAAGAAACTGTCAAATAAACAGAGGCAGGAAAACAAAGAATGATTTTGATTCAGGAGCTGGTCTTTGTTTGTGCTCTAGCATTTTAGCTGCACAAGTTAAAGTTCACTCTGATGCTAAAGCCTTTGATGTAGCTTAGCTCTGACTGTAGCTAAAGCCTTT